CTTTTCTTAGAGGGGCGGGGGGCATCGAAGGCAATTTTAATACAACGTTCGCCTTCGTTCATGGCGATGCGTGTCGCGCCCTTCCTTTCATTTCACTCGTCTGCCCGCGCCTCCTCCCCCCACCCCACCCCTCAGAGGCCTCTACTGCTGCCCACGGGTGCATGTCAGCTCGGCCACCGCAACCCTTACCTGCACGCTTCGTCGTCTTCTTCCTTGTTTTTACTACCCCCTCACCGTCGCCCCCTCTCTCCCGCACCACGCTCGCCTCTCTTCTCCAGCTGCGTCTCGCCGTGCGCGTGCAGCCTCCGCTTGTAACATCCGCGCACAGTTGGAGGACGCCCGCCGCACTGCAGCCTTGCGGCCGTCAAGGGGCACAAAAGTGGCTTCACCCACGCAGTCGGTCCCGCCCACACACACCGACACACACACGCACGTGGGGGAAGGAGCGGCGGCAACGCATGACGATGCAAAGACGGGTGCGAGGGAAACGGCCAAAAAAGGGAATTGCACACACACACACACACAAACACACATGGAAAACCTGAAACGCTCTCCCTTTTATGTTATTGTCTTCGCGTCTCGGCTAATTCCCTTCGTTGGATTCGTCCTGTTGCTCTTCTTGTTATTGCTGTTGTTGTTGTTGTTTTTTTCTTCATCCTTTTTTTTCCCCCTCCGCCTTTTTGTCTTCGTCTCTTTCCTCAAGCGTTCATTTTGTAAACCAAAAGTCTTTTGACCTTCACCCCCGCTTTTTTTAATATATTATATACATATATGCATATATTATGACGCCAACGGCACCCCACCCACCACGCCGCGCGTGCGGAGTGGCACAGTGGTGTGTCTCTATTCGGATGACACCTGCATGCATGCACACACGCATACATACATGCATGCATGGATATATATATATGTGTGTGTAACGCACCACTAGGCACACGTGTGCGTGTGTGTGTGTGTGTCTGTGCACAGGCACATATCAATGGGTCGACGCGGGACATTCCTAAACCTCCCCCCCCAAAAAAAAAGACGTGTCAGCGGATTTCCCTCTACATTGGCGCCTCAACCCGGCAACGCGTTCTGCAGCGCCACAAGCCACTCCTCGTAGGCCGTCTCGTTGGCCTCCTTGAACCAAAACGCCTTGCCGGTTTGGTTCTTCATCGCAAAGACGAACTTCTCATGCGCAATCGCGGCGTCGATGGGGCACACCGACGTGACGGCGCTCAGCTCTACCCGCTCCTCCGACCCCGTCGCCACATCCCGCATGACGATCGCCTCCTCGTCCAAGGAGAGGTCGCACTCCTGCCAGCCACGATCCGCCGTGTGCCGGGCGACAACCCCCCGCCGCGGCACCACGCGGCTGCTTTCGTAGTCTTGGATGTCGGAGCTGAGCACCTCGTCCACGTTGCGGGCGATCTCCTGCTGCACGCTCTGCGGGATGCGGTTGTGGTTCAGCACGCTGCGCCGCAGCGTCTCGAGCCCTTTGCGGATAAACGGCTGCTGGAACAGCTGCCGAAGCGACGGGCGGTACTTTGGGTCGAGGGAGAGCAGCTGGTCGCACACGTTGCGTATATCCTCGCTGTAAATGCTGGGGAGGGGCTGCCGGCGGGCGTGCAGGATGTTATCAATGAGCTCGTCCATGTTGCGGCCGCCAAAAGGCCGCTTGAGGGCAATCACTTCGTACAGCACCACACCGAGGGCCCACATCTCGCTCTTCTTGCTGTACGGCGCGCGGCGCCAGAGCTCCGGGCTCAGGTAGTACGGTGTGCCACAGAAGGTGGAGCCAACCGGGTTGGAGAGCGAGTCCTCGTACTGCCGCGAGAAGCCAAAGTCGCCCAACTTCACCAGCCCCGTGGTGGTGAGGAGGACGTTGGCCGTTTTCAGGTCTCTGTGCATCATCTTGTTCATGTGGATGTGGTCAAGGGCGAGGCAGAGCTGGAGAAAGATAAAGAGCACCTCGTGCTCCTTGAAGTACCGCGTCGACTGCTGCCGCGCCTTGATCTGCTTGTAGAGATCCCCGCCGTCGGCGTACTCCATGATGATGAGCAGCATCCCACCGCGCTCGTAGGAGACGTGGTGCCGCACAATGTTGGCGTTGTTGCAGCGGGAGAGACACTTCACCTCGTTTGTCACAAAGCCGCGGTCCTTGGAGCTCATGTTGTTGGTGTCCATGACTTTGGCCGCGTAGATTGTCCCCGTCTCCCGCTCCTCTACACGCCACGCGCTGCCGAAGCTGCCCTGGCCAAGTAGCTTTTTCTTTATGTACTTGCAATCCGGCCGCGTGCCGAGGATGCCCTCCAGAGGGTCCGACTTGGCGGTGTCACCCTCTGTGGGGGGCTGCGGCAGGCCGCTGTTGCCAGTTGCCACCCGTTTCGCGTCGGTCATTGGCCTCACTAGCGCTGCGCAGAAAGCGAGAGAAAGAAAGGAGGAAAAGAAAGAAAGAGAGAGGAGGAGGAGAGAGAGAGAGTGTGTGTGTGTGTGTGCGTGTGTGAGGGCGACGGGTTACACATGCACGCAGACACGCGCGGACAACAGGAGAAGGGGGAGGAGGGCGCGTGAATAGGCTCTTTGGCCCACACCCAGAGAGAGGAGCAAACGCGAGAACGTAAAAGAAGAACAGGCCCCAACAAGGCGAAATATGACGCACCACACAGGATGCTTCGCCTATTAGTCTTCAGGGAAGATAAAATCCTTTAATACTTCCTCACTCTGCCGCGTTTGCCGCATTGCCTTCATTGCAGCCTGCAGCACACGCTTGTCCGCAAAGAGGCTATTGAAGCAGGCTTCTAGTGTGCCGGCAGCCTGGCATTGGGCCAGCAGCCGCGTCAACTCCCACGCCGTGGGCGCGGGCGCCGAGTCTGACGCCAGCGGCGGCGGCAACGACGACACGCCGCTACCGCCGAAGAAACCGTCTGTCGTCTCCTTCTCGGTGAGCCACTGCAAGTGCAGCGCATCGTCGCTCCCCCACTTAATCCCAGGGTGCTCCTGCGCAAAGGCCGCCTCGATCTTGCGGACCCCCTCCGAGAGGGAAGCGACGGTCCCTGCCTCCACCATAGTGGCCGCCAGCGAGAGCTCCTTCAGTTTGCGCCGCAGCTTGGCGTGGAACAGGCGTCGGCTGTCCTTCCACGGAACCACGCCCCGCACGGCGCCCATGGCCTCCATGCGCACCGGGGTGTCGTGCAGCTCCGCGAAGCGGACGGAGACGTCGCGGTAGAGCGGCAGGAGACGGTTCTCCTCCTCGCGCAGCTGCTTCGGATCCAGCGCGGCGAGGCCTGGGTTGTTGCGGCGGATGAGCCCGCGGACGTCGGCCTCGCGGAATTTGATCTCCACGACGCCGGCGGGCTCCATCACCCCGCCGTGGGAGGTGAGGTCGCAGTACATCTCCACCGCCCCGTTGTGGTTGATGAGGGGGTCGACGACGACCCACGCCCCGCCCCGCAGCTCGCCGTGCGGGGGAATGTAGATGAAGAGGGGGCAGCTGTACACGCGGACGTTGTCGACGATGGCGGCCCCAAACTTGAGCACCTCGTCGAACATGTCCCGCATTCCGCCGGAGAAGCCGCGCCAGTTGGCCAGAATAAAGCACGGGAGCCGCTCGTGCTGGAAGTCGTCCAGCGCGTCTGCCGTCTTGCGCGCGGAGTCGGGGAACCACACCTGCCCCGCCTGCGGAACGAAGGAGGAGGCGGAGGTGGGGTCGGCGGGGTCGGCGGGGGTGTACTTGCGCGTCAGCCGCGTCTCGACAAGGATGACGCCGCACGGAATGCCGCCAAGCGTCGCCCGCCCTGTCACGACGGACTTCGCCCACCCCTCCGACGACTCCGTCCACGAGCCGCGGTCGAACAGCCCCAGCTTGCCGCCCACGCCACACACCAGTTGCCGTGGGTCGTACGCCTCCCCGCCGCCCGGCGCGAACGTCACGTCGCGGTCGACGGGGTCAGGGTAGGGCAGGGCAAGCACGCGCGGGCAGCAGCGCAGGGGGTCGACCGTGGGCGGGACGTAGTTCAGCCAGCCCAGCAGGGCCTCTGCAGAGCGGTAGTTGTTCTTTGTGTTCCAATGCGTCACACCGTTCGGCACCATCACCTGCTTTCCGCCCAGCTGGCTGTTGTCGCTATACACCTCCGTGCCAAGCAGACGGTTGAGCGCGGTGGCGCCTGTCAGGATGAGCGGGGCATCGTCGGTCTGAATCACGCGGCGGCCAATGCGGTTCAAGTAGGCGCCAATGCCAACGCTGCGCCCGGTCACAACGCTGATCGTCGGCACCTCGCTGTAGTTCTTCGACATCTGCCCCGCCACAAGACCGGACCCACGCAAGTTCTCCACACCCAAATACTCCTCGGGCCCACCAATAATGCCGTGGAGCACGTAACGCGCCGCAGCCTCCCCCGCCTCCTGCCGTGGCTCCACCGCGAGCCGCACACCAAGCCGCGTCAGCTCCTCGTAGTCGTCCGGCATGAGGTACAAATACTCCACCTCGTTCGTCTCACTCAAGGCGACGCGAAACCGCTTCTTTACCTCCACACTCAGCCCAAGCCGCGCCCCACTGTTGGCACTGATGTACACAAACGGCACGCGCAGTCGTCGCGCCAGCTCGGAGGCCGCGCTGAACACGTCATCCTCCGGGACGGCGAAGGAGCCTGACAGAAACGTGATGTCGTTGGCGACCATCACAATGCGGCGGCTTCCAGCCTCGTCCGCCTCGCTGTTGTAGTACGTCGGAGGGCGCAGCGTCACCAGCCACACGACCATGCCGCATTGGACGTGGCCCGGTCGCTTCTCCTCACAGAGCGTCTTGCCATCGGCCGCGTCAAGAAAGAGTTCCTTCGCCTTGACCAGCTCCTTTGGAATGCGGTCGCGCGAGAAGCCTCGCCCGCGCGCGTGCTGCCTCCACTGATTGCCCAGCACGGTGAGAAGCAGCTGCGGCCAGTCGTGCGCGTAGACGGTGTTGAGGGCCCTTGCCTGGAGACGCTTCAGCTGCTTCTCGGAGACCATTGGGTACGGCCCCAGCGGGACATTCTCCTCAACCTCCTCGCCCCCGCCAACGGCGGCCGCCGCCGCCGCCTCCGTCGGGTCACGCGAGGGCAGCAGAGTGCGCAGCGCAGACAGCTTTGACGCCGTGCGCAGCAGCGTGCGCAGCGTGGCGCCGCCGTTGCCGCCGTTGCCGCCGTTACCGCCGTTGCCGCTGCCGCCGTCCTTTGCCTCGAAAAAGGCCTCGTTGATGTTCTCGCTGGACATGTAGTTGGCCGTGATGGCCACGTCCTCGGAGGTCTCCGCGCGGCGCAGGCAAATCTTGCCGTTCTCAATCCACTCGTAGCTGGTGCGCATGATGACGTTGTAGCCCGAGGGCGACGAGATAAAAACGCGGAACGGGATGCATCCGCTGCTCACCCGCACGTTGAACGAGAGCTCCACCTCGGCGACGCCCAGGTAGCCCAGCCGCTGCCTGTAGGACACGCCGACGTGCTCGAACAGGCGCTTCATCTCGGCCACGTCAAACGTCAGCTCCGCCATTTTGATGAAGATGTGGTTGTAGGTGGGGTACTTGAAGGTGTTGTCGTTGCGCGCAAACTCCAGGGCATTGAAGCACTTGGCGAGCATGTGCCCCGCGTCAATCTCGTTCGCCTCGGTCCAGGCCTCGACGCCCAAGTCCCGCGGACTCAGGAACACCCGCGCAAACATGCGACTCTCCAAGTGCGACGGATTCCTCTTCTTGGGCGTCGCCCGAAACACGTGCACGTCCTTGAACGGCGTCGGGTACATGACGACGTCGTAGTTCACCAGGCGGTGCAGCTCAAGGCGCCGCGCAGAGAGCGGGGCGATGTTGCGGATCAGCGTGTCCTCGCGCCACCCGTGGCACTGGCGGTAGGTGAAGGTGTGCGGCCCGTCGGGGATGCCGTGAGCAATGAACGTGACGCGCCGCAGGCTGTCGTGCTGCAGCAGCGCCTGCGTGTGTGCGTGCAGCAGCTGTTGGCAGCGCCGCGCCGCCTCCTCGGCGTCCGCCTGGACGCTGACGGCGAAGAAGACGGTGCAGACAACGTTCTCGTGCGGGACGTGGCGCATGACGTTGTCGAGGGCCGTCGTCCACGTCTCCCACAGAACCCGGTCGTCGGCGAACATCACGCAGAAGCCTGCGCCTTTGCTCTCCGGGGCACCGTCGAGGCCGTTGTCCTCGCAAGGGGAGATACACTCCGCCCGCAGCGGGTCGTGGTCCTCGAGCGGCTCGTACTCGTAGGAGCCGTACCAGCAGCCGTCCTGGACGAAGATGTCGAGGTTCTTCACGTGGCTCTCGCCAAAGTACTCGCGGCGAATGTACAGCTCGAGGCAGAGCTGCACAAGATGCGGTGTTCTGTGGTCGAACATGACGGCGCACATGAGGTCGTCGCCGTAGCTGCCCTGAATAAGGTCGGTGATGCGGCCCTCCTCCAGCTCCTTTGCGAAGGTCGTCTTGCGCTCCTCGAAGGAGGGAAGGCTGCACTGCCGCAGCAGATACCGCACCTGCAGGGCAAGGGAGCCGTGCGTGACGGAGCTCAGCTCCAGCAGGGAGGAGAGGGTGTCCTGCAGGGACTTCAGCAGCAGCCTGTTGGTCTCCAGCATGTGCAGCAGCCCCTTGATGACCTCGTGGTGGCAGGGCTGGTGGTGGGCAAAGTCCAGCGCATACACCTCCATTGCGTCATCCTCCGCCGCGCGCAGGCGCTGGATCGCCTCCTGTCGACTGCACCGCGCAAACGGCCCTTCCACGGCGATGTAGTCGGCCACGAGGGCGTTGAGGACGGTCTTGAGCTTCTCGTTGGGCGTCGTCGCCGCCGCCGCCTCGTCCCGCGCCGCGGCGGAGAGCGCTGCCGCGAGCAGCGGGAAGTTGGCCGCGTTGAGGGCGACGGTGGAGAGGCAAAGGGAGGAGAGGTTGTCAAATGCCTCCTGCAGCCGCCGCGCCAGCGAGGTGCCGGGGAAGTGGTAGCCGCGCAGCATGTTGTACAGCGCCTCCACGCCGAGCTGGGCCCGCGTGAGCCCGTTGGGCCGCTCCAGCCGCCGCTCCCGCTCCCCGACGAGCGGCGCGGGCCACGGCTCCTGCGCCTCCTGCGGGCGGCAGACGTTGCTTGGGTCCGCCAGCGTGATGTCGCCGACGACGGTGCCGACGGCGATGGTGCTGCCGGGCGCCACACGGTGGTGCAGCACCCCCGCCGCGGTCGCCCGCAGCGGCAGGATCATCTTCATCACCTCCACCTCCGCGATGGTGCGGCCCTCCGCCACCTGCCCGCCGTCGTTGACGACGTAGCGCACGAAGCGGCCCGGGACGGACGACAAGATCTTCGTCGGGTCCGTGTCGCCGGTGAAGGTGGTCTCCTTGCCGCCGATGGAGATGCGCAGACTCGTCGGCTCCTTCGCCGCGTAGGCGATGAAACTTCTCCCCCCTATGCGCAGCTGCAGTCCCCCCGACTTCAGCCTGCGGAAGGGCACCGTGACGACGCTGCCGTTGAGCGAGACGGCAACCTCGCTGGGGCTCACGCAGCCCATGGTGACGGTGTACTTTTTGGCGCGATTCACGTACGACTCAGTTAGGCAGTTGGTTAGATAGTCAGGTGAGGGAACGTGCCCCGCAACTAGAAAGGTAACGTATTTGCCGGCGTTTTCCTCGCCCTTGCGCAGCATGCGGAAGACGCAGGCGGCGATGAGGGCGAGGTAGACGTCCTGCTCCTGCGGCCGCTGCACCGCGCGCTCGGCGATGAGGCGGTCGAGCCACGCCGTGCTGACGTCGCAGGCGATGAACTCCTCCCGCTCCAGCAGCTCCAGCACGTACGAGACGGAGGTGTGGATCTCCCCGCGAATGACGAGGTTGCGCAGCGCCATGACCATCCCGCGGCGCGCGTCCTCGCGGGTCTCGCCGGAGCTAAAAATGTGGCCGAACTGCGAGTCCGCAAACTGGTGCACCTCGCCCCCGGGGCCGATGGAGAAGTACCCCCAGCACTCCTTGCTGTTCCTGAAGGTGATCTCCTCCACGCGGCCGGAGGTGGGGCGAAACCCCTCCTCCGTGTCCTCCGCGGTCACGCGCACGGCGATGGTGTGCCCCTTCGCCGGCGGCGTCCCGCGCCGCGCAACGTCGATCGGCGTCGTCGTGTACGGCCGCTCCCCGTAGAAGCTGCGCACCTCCGGCACCCGGTAGAGCGGGACGCCCATGCCGACGCAGAGCAGGGCGGCCGGCAGGTTGACGCCGGAGATCAGCTCCGACACCGGGTGCTCCACCTGCAGCCGGGGGTTGAGCTCGAGGAAGAAGAACTTGCCGGTGGCCTTGTCGTACATGTACTCCACGGTGCCGACCCCGCGGTAGCCGACGGCGTTGGCGAGGCGTATCGCGGCCGCCTCCATCGAGGCGATGACCGCGGGGTCCACGCCAAACGCGGGGCCCTCCTCAATGATCTTTTGGTGGCGCCGCTGCACGGAGCAGTCGCGGGTGTGGACCGCGATGCAGTCGCCGTAGTTGTCGGCGAGCAGCTGCACCTCAAGGTGCCGCACATTCTCCAGCATCCGCATCACGAAGATGTGACAGCCCTTCACCTCCTCCGAGACCGCCAGAAACATCTCGGGCACGTCCTCCATGCGCAGGCAGCAGCGGATGCCTTTGCCGCCGCCGCCTTCCGAGGCCTTTATCATGACAGGGAACCCAATCCGGCCACACACCTCCTCGCACTCCCCCACGGAGGTGATGTACGCCTTTTCGTACACCAGCGGGTCCACCTCAAAGACGCCCGGCGGGAGGCGAATCTCATCCCCGCTCCACGGCACCGTTGGCACGCCGTTCGACTGCGCCACGATGGTGGAGGCGATCTTGTCGCCAAGCGCGAACATGGCCGACTCCGAGGGGCCAAGAAAAACAACCCTGTTCGCAAGCCTGGCGCACTCCAGCGACAACACCGGATTCTCCGACGCGTGGCCCCAGCCGGGGTAGATGGCGTCGCAGGAGGTCTGCAGCGCCGTGTGCATGATGAGGTCGACATTGGCGTAGTTGTTTGCGTTTGGGCCGCCCGGGACGGGGACGTGGCGGTCGGCGAGGGAGATAAACTCCGCGTTGGCGTGCAGATCCTCCGGCGTTGCCATCACTACAAACTCCACCGCCTCGGAATCCCCAATGTGCTCATAGAGCCACGAGCGGATAGAGTCAATGCCCTTTACCGCGGCAAGGCCATTGTTTGCGATAAGGACCCGCTCGATCGTCTTGGTGCCGCCGAGAAACATGCGGAACTCCGAGAGGTTGCGGAAAGGCAACTGCTGCAGCGACGCCCTGCGTTCGGCGAAGTCCATTTCCTCGCCGCTTCTTTTCTGATTGCGTTTGCTTGTTTAGTGCAATTCGTTAATCCCCGCCGCTGTTTTTTTTGCTATTTTTTTTCTTCGTTTTTTTTTTTGCTTTCGCTTTTGCTGGCGACTCGCTGCGACTCGCTTCGCGTGCGCGTTGGCGTGAGCGAGCGCGCGGGGGGCGGCGGCCAACGGAGAAGAAGTGAGAGGCAAAAGGGGGCGCAACGCCGCCTGCACACGAGTGTGTGTGCGTGTGTGTGGAGGAGGACGCGGGAGCTTCGCCGCAGCGTCGGCGCGCACACACACACGCAAAGAGAGCGAGAGGGAGAAGCATAGTTATGTATATAAATGTATAGATGGAGGGAGGGAGAGGGAGAGATGTGTGCCCGCTGCCGCAGGAGACTACGCGCCCACCGACGCTGCCGCCCGCTCCGCTACCGCCCAACCGACGGCGACGACGGCGACGACGGCGACTCGGAGCGGGAGCGCTTCAGTGGCGGCTCGGTGGCCTCCTCCGCTTCCGCCTCCTCCGCCTCTTCGATCTCCGCCTCGCGCCCGCTCTTGAGGCGGGGGGTGCCGCTGCTGCCGCCGCCGGGCGCGAGGGGGCGCGGGGGCAGCACCTCGACGCCAAACTCCACCGCCATCGCGTCGAACTCGAGCTCGGAGATGCCCCGCATGCTGCGCTCCAGCGTGCTCGCCACGCTGGACGTCTCGGCGTCGGCGGAGCGCGCCTCCTCCGGCGTCTCCTGCAGCGCGTGCTCCAGCCTGAGGGCGAGGGCGGGGGAGCGGGCGCGCAGCGCCTCCCCGTGCGCGGCCCAGAGGCGGGTCCCGAGTGACTGGCAAAGACCAGCGCCCTTCCCGGCGCCGTCCCGCTGCCGCTGCCGCAGCTCATCCTCGTCTGCCGCGCCGTTGCCGCAGCTGTCTGGGGGCTCCTCCTCCTCGTCCTCGCTGTGCAGCAGGTGCAGAAAGGGGCTGCCGGCTGGTTGGGGGACGCCCCGCGCCCTCTCACTCTTCTCGCGGTGAATCGAGCGACAGACAGAGTCCAGCAGATGCGCCAGCGACGCGCTGAGGACGTTGCTACGCCACGCACACGCCATGTAGCGCCGGGCTGCTGTGTCAAGCAGCGTGCCGTCGCCGAGCAGTTTCTCCACGATGCGCTGCTTGCCGCTGTTTAGCACGGCCGCAACAAAGGCCACGACAGAAGACTGCACGTTGGCACTCGAGCGGACCTTTGAGCGCAGTGCGGCGTCAAGGCCCGCTGGCAAGTCCGCCCGAACCAAGACGTTTGCAAAGGCGGCGCTCAGCGCCTCGCTGATGTCGTCCGTGATGGCGGTGAGGACCTTGAACGCGTGCAGCACCCGCGCCTCCTCGTGGGAGCCGCGTGCAATCGACTCCCCGCTGGCGAGCGTCGTGGCGACGCAGGCGGCGAGCGGAAGCAGCGGGGGCCGTCGCCCCAGCGCCCCCTCCACCCAGAAGCGTACCACGTCGCTCTTTGTCGCGCCGCCCATTTCCATGAGGTCTGGCACGTACTGCAGCATGCCGATCCCGCAACTCACAACCGCGTCCACGGCCGCCTGCAGCTCCGTGCCGCGCTGGCTCGTCACCATGCACTGCAGCAGCAGCTCCAAGAGACAGCCGTCGGGGCTCGCAGACGCCTCCGCAACCAGTGCGCCACGCCCGGATGGGTATAGCATGATGCAGCTGCAGACAATGTCACACGCCATCTGCATCGCCATTCCAGGCGTCGTGCGGGGCGGGTGCGGTGGTGCGGAGGGTGTTGGCTGCGGCTGCGGCGTGGCCGCGTAGGCGCGTATTGCGTTCTCCAGCACAAAGCGGAGAAAGGGCAGCAGTCCGGCCTCCACAAGAGCCTCGAAGAGCGAGGCTCTGAGGTTCAGTGCCATCATCGTGTTTTTAATGGTCTTGCTCATGTCGTGAATGAAGGCGAGAACTTCGAAGGCGTCCTCGACGTCGCCAACGGCGCGCTTGAACGCCCGTGGAATAAATACGGGCGACCGGCAAATTTCCTCCACAAGACGGAGTTTGGTGGACGCGAGGTACGTGCTGAGCAGCGAGGACGGCACGGCGTCCGCCTCGTCAAGGCTGAGCGGCAGCAGGTCTTTGAGGTAGCCGCAGGAGTACAGCACGTGAATGCGGGCCAGGAGGCTCTCCGGGAGCTGCAGCGGGTTGCGAAAAGTCGCGCGACGCTCCTCGAAGCTGACAAACCCCGTGCTGCGCTCCCGCCGCCCAATGGCGTACTGCACGATGTCCACGCACATGTCAACGAGCGAGTTCTCCACGAATTGTGCAATTATTTTTCCGTCTGTGTTAAACGGCGAGCGCAGCAGCGCGAGCGTGATCTGCCCCGCCAGGTCCATGCCGCGCACGTCCCCGTCACGCCGGCACGCCTGAAACAGCTCCGCGAGCTCCTTGAAGTAGGCGTCGCAGCCGCGCACGTACATGCCGAAGCGCTGGGCGTTGGTCGTGACGGCGGAAAGGATCGCCGGCAGGTTTTCGCGGCACACCGCCCAGTGGCTGCAGATGGACAGCGCTCCCACCGCCTCGGCGCCGTTCATTTCGCGCGACAAGGCGCTCTTCCGGGACCGCTGGTAGGCCACGATCTCGCCGTATATCTTCTCGCAGCCCTCCTTTGTGTTGAAGCTGCACGCCATGCAGCGGCCCAGCTGCGGGTCCGTCCACCACAGGATGGTCTCGCTGTGCACGACGTAGGCGTCCGCGAGGGTGATGGGCGTGCTCATCAGCAGCTCCGCCGGGTTGTCGATGTCGACGATATCCAAGTGCCCCACCGCCCCCTCCGCGCCGCCGCCGACGTCGTCCAGCGCCGCGGAGGAATGGAGGACGACGGACACGACACCGACGCCCATCTCCGTCCACGAGTCGTCGTCGGACATGCTCGCGTACAGCTTCGCCTTGGTGAGGCTCTCCCCCGCGTCCTCCATTGCGGCCGGGACCCCGTCAGTGCCTCCTGCAAAGTGCGGTGTGTCCGGTGCGTGTTTGCCTCCGCGCCTTTGACCTGCGGAGCCTTCGCAGCTACTACAACCAGTGGGGGGTTTCTGCAGGTGGGGGAACGGGCACAAAGGCGGGGGAGAGAAGGTGAGGAGAGGAATGCACCGCCCAGGCGGGGCGGCGTCAGGGCCTGTCCGCGGCGGGAGGGGCACGGACGCGCAGCAACAGACACAGGCACGCACGCGCCCCTGGCACCGGCGCCGCCTCACGGTTCATACAGTACAGACTCCAACACACACGCACACACACACACACACACCCGCTCCCCAGCTCGCTCCGTACAATACGACGCACACTCGTCACAGTGCGGGCGAAGCGTGGCGCTCGCTAACGCGCGGCACAGCGGGGTCGCGGTCGTTCGCCGAGGCGCTGCGCTCCAGCCGCGACACGGCACGGCCGCGCTCGATCAAGTCGTCGAACTGCGTGACGAGTCCGTCAAGCCGCTGCAGGCGTGTGTTGTTCTTGCAACGCTGCTCGTTCAGCATTTTCGAGTACCGCAGCATTGACCGCGTCACGTCATTCGTGGAGACGGAGCGGCGCAGGGGAGTCGCCACGGCGAGCGAGGCGTCGGCCGGACGACGGCTCTGCTCCCCCCGCGGCACATGTGCGGCGGGCACGTCGGTCACACCGGGCCGCGCTTCGCCACGCACCCCCACGCCGCAGGCCACGACCAGACGACTCTTCGCGTCGAAGGCCTCGCAGGCGGCCGCAGCCACCGCCTGCGCAAAGCTCGTGGCGCCGTCCATCAGCCAGCGGCAGAAATGTGTCGTGCCGCGGCAGTCGCTGGGGCGCGCCTGCTCCTCTGCCGCCGCCACCAGCGCCCTGTGAATGACACGGCACACCTCCCGCATCCCCTGCAGCGCCTCGCACAACAGCGTGCGTCGGCCCTCGGCCTCCTGCAGCCTGCAGCGGGAACACTGCTTCTCCAACTGAAGCTCACGCAGCTGCCGCCGCAGCGCAGAGGAGGAAGGCTGCTGCCCGTCCAGCGCCCCGCGCCGTTCCACCGACGCCGCCCGAAGGCCATCCGCCGTTGCCCGCAGCTCCGCCACCTCCTGCGCGTGCCTCGAACGCGTCCGTGCGGCGGCCTGCTGCGCCTCCTCCTCCTGCACGCGCAGGCGGGAACGCAGCGCGCACGCCTCCTCCTCGTGGCGTTCGTTGCTGGCCCTCAGCTCGGCCTGCAGCGACTCGATGTGTCGCGCCATCTCCGCCATGTCCCGCCGCGCACGTGCCTCGTACGCCTCGTGCTGCTCTCGCAGCTCACGACACCTCCGCTCCGACAGCTCCTGCGACGTCTGCAACGCCCTCGTCAGCGCCGCCGTCTCGCTCTCGTGCACCGCCTGCAGCTCACGCAGCTCCTCAGCCGTGCCCGTCTGCCGCCGCGCCTCGGAGAGCTGCTGCAGGTCCGCTTCCGACTGACGCAGGAGCTCCGCCGAAAAGTACTCCACGTCCCGCAGCATGCCGGCGGCGGCGAGAAAAACCGAGCGACGGCCCGCCAAGTTCTGCTGAAACGCCAGTAACACACGCTCGTACTGCCTCGCGATGCCGTCCAGCGCCTCGTGCCGTTCCACCGACGCCGCCCGAAGGCCATCCGCCGTTGCCCGCAGCTCCGCCACCTCCTGCGCGTGCCTCGAACGCGTCCGTGCGGCGGCCTGCTGCGCCTCCTCCTCCTGCACGCGCAGGCGGGAACGCAGCGCGCACGCCTCCTCCTCGTGGCGTTCGTTGCTGGCCCTCAGCTCGGCCTGCAGCGACTCGATGTGTCGCGCCATCTCCGCCATGTCCCGCCGCGCACGTGCCTCGTACGCCTCGTGCTGCTCTCGCACGTTTCTTGACTCCGCGACCTCGTCTACAACCCCCGCGGTGGCAATTCTGTCCTCGAGGAAGTTTTGGTACTGCACTAACTCGTCAAGCAAAGTCTCATGTCGCTCCCGCTGCGCCTCGAGGGCCTCCGTGGTGGCGGCACGCATCTCCTCCACGACGACGCGCACGTGCTCGGCCATCAGCAACCGTTCCGTGGAGAGAAGCCGCATTGCCTGCGCGACCGGTGCGGCGGCGGCGGCGCACACCTCCTGGCAGAACTCCAAGCAGAGGCACTCACGCCTCGCAAACCAGTTCGCGGCAGTCGCAGCGAAGGTAACCCACAGTGCGCCGTACCGCCGCAGGTCGGCGGCGCCACGTGTGTTCTGCGCCGCTTGTGTGTTCTCCATCGCTACCCTGGCGGCTGCCGCGTCGGTCGCAGACAATTCTGCCGCCGTAGCCAGCGAAGCGGTAATCGGGTGCGTGTGGAGGAAAAACAGCTTCAGTTTGGCGTCATGCAGGCCTGCCAGCAACCCCGTCGAGGCGCTGAGCCAAGACGCAGCGGCCCCGGCGATCGCCGACATATGCTTTTCGCCTCTTTGGCCCTTTCTCCTGAAAGAAAAGAGCAGCCAGCGGCTAAACGCATCCCGTGCGCAGTACTCAACGAGGAGGCAGCCCATATCCTGCAGGCGCCCCGCCGCACCGTCGAGCTCCACCCGCAGCGCCTGCCGCTCCTCATGTAGCACCGCCCCAATACGCAAGGCGCAGAGCCCTTGCTGCAGACTTTGCTGCTCGCAGAGCTCCTCGTGGTGCAGGGCGAGGCGCTCCTCGTGCTCCATGGCAGCAAACCGCACGAACTGAGCTGTTTGTCCATCCTGCAGCTGTGTCAGCTGAGCGTCTTTGGCCGTTTGCTTCCACAGTTCGACGTGGGCCGTTAGCCTGGAGACAGTTTCCCGCAGCCACGCAGACTGCCGCGCCTCCTCCAAGAGCTCCGCGCGCACGCGCGTCTCCGCGACCTCACGCTCTGCCTTGTGGCACAACGACTGTCGTGCGGCCTCCTCCAGTGCCGTGAGGCAGCGGCGGCGGAAGGGTTCGTCCTGCAGAAACTCCTCCACTGCGGCGCAGTGCCGCCGTGCCTGCCACCCCGCCGCCGTGGCCCAAACTTCCCGCTTCGCCTCCTCCAGCTCCACTTGCGCCGCCTGCCGCACCCGCGCAAGCCGCCGGTGCACCGCGTGCAGTCGCCATGACGCCCAGTTGCGCCGCAGTTGCCCCGCGGCGTGGGCACGGTGCAGCAGCGTCGCCCCCTCCGTCGCTCTGCGGCGCAGATGCCTCACTTGAGTTTGGAGTTCCGCACGCGCCGCGTCAAGGTGCCGCTCGGCAACCTCGCAGCGCCCCTGCAGGAGCGCCACGCGCCGGCTCAGCGGGGCGACGAGGCCGGCCTGCTCCGCAAGCTCCACCAGCCGCTCCGTCAGCTCGGCGCTGCGCCGCCCCGCCTCGCAAAGCAGGGCGCGAGAGGCACGGTGGAGCAGCTCAACCTTCGCCGACACGCACGTGTCCGCCGCAGTCCACGCCTCCCGCGCCACTGCGGCAAGCGATGCCAGCCGCGCCCTCGTTGCCGCTGCGAGCTGCGTGGCTCGCTCCTCCTCCTTGCGGCCCCTCGCCTCCGCGGCAAGCAGCTGGTGCGTCAGCCGCCGCTCCCGCTCCGCGTAGTGCCGCGCCAACTCCTCCTGTTGCCGCACGTAGTTGCTCGTGCGCTCACTAAACTCGTACGCCATCTCGTCCATGGCGTTCTTGAGGCGCACCACCTCCTCCTCGCGCTCCTGCTCCAGGCGGGAAATCGCATCGTGCGCGCGGCGTTCCTGCGCCCCATCGCGGGAGACGTGCTGCTGAAAGTCCAACGCGGCACACCGCAGCTCCTGCTCGGAGCGCCGAAGCTCCGCCTCAAGCTCCACTGCCCGACGACGCTGCGTCTCTAACGCGGCTTGAAGCCGCTGCGCCCGCCAGCGGTAAAAGCACCGCGCTCGCCGCTCCCTGCTCGACCTGGTCGCTGCGTACCGACTGGCGATGGTGTCACGAAGCCTCTTGAGCTGACGCCCGCTCTCCGCGTGCTGACGATCCGCGCAGGCGCCAAGGGCCCGGCGCAACCAACGACCCAGCAGCCGCGCCTGCAGCCGCCGCGAAAGCGCCCGCTGAAACAAACCTGCCGCGGCATCCTGCGCAGCGGCCAGTTGACTGTCCCTGCCCGCCAGCTGCAGCTGAAACTCTGCCTCCCGCCGCCGCTGCAGCTCAAGCTGGCCCTCAAAGTAGCGCCGCATTGCCTGCCTTGCCACGCCCACGTCATTCTCCTCGAGGAGGCCGCAGAGGAGGCGTGTGCCGTGCTCGAGGTGCCGCACCGCCTCCTCCTGCTTCGCCTGCGACGAGGACTGCAGCGCCAAGGCGGCGTCCGCCGCGTCGCCCGCGGCCCGCATCCGGCGCAGGGCGATCAGGTCGCGTTGTGCCTCGAGCACGGCGCACTGCGCCTGCCGAAGGGTGCCCTGCAGCTCCTCCATCGACCACACTGCACCGGCGCAGGGAGGGGAGGAAGAATGCAGAAAAGCCACGTTCGCAGGGTGCGGCAGGGCAATACAGCAAGGCAACCATCACACACGGGCGCAAGAACAACAGTACACACACACGCACACATCAATAAAATAAGTGAATAAGTACACACACATAGTCACAGGTGCACACTGTCACATGCGTGCGGAGGAAACCCGCGGGGCGGCGGAGTGTGCGCATCCCACACTGCGACGGCCCACTGGCGGTGCCACTCTCCACCGCAGAAACACCTCAACACGAATGGCTCTCACACGCAGAGAAAAAAAATGAACAAACGACCACAAAATTCCGTGTGGCGGGGTGACTAAAAGACAAGTACGGTGTAGTCGGATGGGGAGGAAAGTACAATGAGTCCCCCCCAGGTGGAGGGTGAACGCGCAGAGGGAGAGGGGATTTACCAGAAAGCGCCAAGCGACGATGACTCCCACCTGAAACCCGCACCACCCTATGAGGAGGACCGCCTCTCCCTGCGATACTTCAGCTGCTCCGCCGCCGCAAAATGGATGCGGATAGCACAGTACACCCCCACTAACACGACTGCAAGGCCAATCAGCAGCAGCAAAAAGGCAACGTACCAGTGGGCCTCGAAGAAGCCTCGCTTGATTTTGTACGACACGCGGACGTAAGGCGTCGGGGAGGCCTGGAACGGACCTTCCTGCAGCGCGGCGCCGCCAGCGAGGCAACCGCCCGCCAGAAGCAGCACGGCCGCCCGCCCGCAGAGAACCGAAGTGCGCATAGCGCTTCACTGCCGCTCAGAGCCACGCAGCAGCCACCGCAGGGGGGAACCAAAAACAAAGAAAAACATGAAGAAAAAGAAAGGATGGGACGTAGAAAACAGGCAGCAATGCAAAAAAGGGAAAAGGGGCCCTGCCGCGCAGGCCCACACACACGAAAGGAGAAAAAACACGTGGAACAGCGTGGCAGCGGCGCACAGCAAATGCGCCGCGAAACACCATAGCCACTGCCTTCACGCAACAACAGAAGCAAAGTTTAGCTAAACCACTCACACAACGCAACACAGCCAAAGAAACAAAACATCCCGCTACAATACGGCGGACCGATGCAACACGCCCCAAGAACACTCCGCGGTCACGCGACAGAGGCAGTGTTGCAACGACTCCAGCAGCAGCTCCAGCTTCCGTCCAACGAACTGGGCGAAAAGATCAACCACAGCAGACACACGCCCTTCATACGCCCACAGCAGCAACTCGCCGCAACTTACTCCCACACATGACAAAGTCATTCCGTGAAGCCGCTCAATCGCAGCGGTCTCGCGCGACACGGCATCAGCTTCACAGAGGCGCAAAAGCTCCTCCGCACGCTCCACGTGGCGCAGCATCGTCTCCTCCGCGTCCTCGGCGCCCACAACCGCCGTTTCAAAGTCCTCGGCAAGCCCCTGCATCAGTGACTCAACGATCCGCTTCGCCGCGCACACCTCCCCCAGCTCCTCCTCCAGCGTTTCCAGCCGCTGCACAAGCAATTCCTCACGGGCCCCGGCGTCCACAATTCGTGCCTCCAGCTCAGCAAGGTGCCGCT